TACATATGATACCACATAACCCCACACAACCCAACATCCATCCATCCAAATCATCAATCAACCCTTCCACCACTTCAACTTCCCACCTGTACATCAATCGTTCTACTAAGCATGGCACAACCCGCATCACAAAAGCGGAAAATGCCCCAACGAGTCACTCGTAACACCAAGAAATCAAAACCCGCACCTGTTCCACCTTCTTCGCGTGCCAAACGATCCACTAAACCAACCACCAAGCGATCCACTAATCACCAACAACCGCCAGCTGAAACAAACTCGTCGACATCGTCAGACGAATCTGACAATTCAGATTCGTCAGAGGATGAAAATGCATGGGAGGATCAAGATGAAGATGATCATGACGACCCAGCAACAGGCGCACAGCCACAAACACAGACTCATCAACCTCATTCAAATGCTAGGCTCAAACACAAAATCACACTTGAAAACTACCAGGATCTCGACTTGGATATTTACACTATCAACGAACTCCTTTCAGCCACTGGACGCAAAACTCGCAATCGCATCCCATCTGATATCCAAAAAGAATTGAAAAATCTTCAATTCATGTACCGGCGTGCCAAGAAAATGCTTGCATTAGCTGCCAAATGCAGCGAAAAGACAGTGAATGAATTCCTGTGAGTCTGAAACAACGTATCAACTCTTTGCTTGTGTTGTCATTATACTTACCTTTATTCTACTCAAGACATGAAGTGAGTATCAGAACGAAACGAAACTTTTATCAAAACTTTCTGAAGTATAGTATTGAAAGTTCTAACACAAACAGTAAGTCGGCCTGAGTTCTCAATTTCAAAACTCTCACTAACGACTACCCTCTATCAGTGCCACCAAGGAACACCCGAGAAGGTTTCAAAGAGCACAACCAATACTTAGGGACAACTTGGACCAACCTAGAACCGGAGGAGAAGGACGTATTCAATGGTTGTATGTTTTTCTTCCTAGGATACCTAGCCTCTGGATGGGATCAGCCACCTGTTGAGCCTGGGACAGTTCCACTCGATGCCGAAGAAAGGGATACTTATCTTCCAATATTCAAGCGACTAGTTGATCAGGATAAAGTCGCACGCGATCTAGGGAAAGGAAAATTCGGTCCTCATCTCCCAACCGCTCGACAGAACAAGGGTATTGAAGAGGTGGAACGTATTGAACATGAGGTAAAGCTTCTGATCACGTCAATGACTCATTTATTGGGTATTAAAATAAACTTCTGTTTTGATTCCACCTAGCTTCAAACAATCCACATCCGTTATGGTGTTGACTATGCCCTCATGGCAACCTCGTGGAACCCCAACACTCGCAATGAGAAAGGACAATGGCAAATGCAGTCATCATCCTCTGACGACTGGACAAGCTTGACTGATAATAAATGGAAGCTTCTCGAGCATTTCGTCAGGCATATCACCCAATCCGAACTCAAGACCAAACCCCCTAAGAAACCTCAAGCTAGTGATTTGCTTAAATCTCAACTCACAGCCAAGTTGAATAATCTTGTCCGTAAGTCCATCATTTTATTCAGTCCCCAAGAGCTCAATTCCACTCGCTCAATTCCACTCACAGTATCACTTCATAGGCCAACATCTCAAGCCTCCCTTCAACCACTTAGACTGCCACCCAAAGACTCCATCACCCCACTTAACGTTAAGAGGTCGGACTTTCACCGGCAATACACGTCTGGAGGTCATACAACATCCCAACTCTCGTATGACAGAGGCGCTCCTTGCAACTGCTTATGAAAAAATGGCCGCCAGGACACATCAGATGTGGGTAGATGACATCTAAGATGGCTATTATGTAGTTGGTAAACAAGCGGTTGATGATGATGAGGACAGTAAGAAGGCCCACAATCCAGATGATGATGACGCCGACACGATGATCAATCACAATGAGCAGCGGGAAGACTAGGATTGAGAATGTTGTCTTTGTCACAATGAAACTCGTACAATGGTCTATTTCAATTCACATGTTTGTGTGTGTGAGAAGAATGTTATTACAAATGCTCATCAGATAACTTGAAATGTTGTGGAATGGTGCGATGTTCCAGAAGTCATTTTTCACAGGTGCTCACACCCACTTGCAAAGTGAACCATGTGCCCGTGAGCCTTTTCATGTGAGTCACAAATCTTTAGGTATGAAGACCTCGAAAGATTTTCATTCTGGATCGGCAATATGTATGAAAAATATTAACCTCCCCAACCATGATTGAGGTGTGAAGAACACAAAATGCATTTCCACACCTTTGTATGACGGAACAGGACAAATGTGTAATGTGCGTGCAAACAATGGGAAAAAAATTCACACGTTCAGAGGTGGAAAACGTGTGAAGTTGATTTTCTTTGA